GTGTCGAAAGAGCTGTGTGCGAGGGTGCAATATCAGCGAGATGCCAATGACGCAGCGGCAGATGATGAATAGCGTGTGAGTGGCTTGTGAATGGCTTGGTGTTCAGCCGCCTAAAACGTTAGAGGCCGCCGTCGGGGGTGTCGGGACTCGGAGTTAGCCCTCCGCGCGCGAGGTGCTTGATGCTTCGTGTCCTTTACGAGGTGTTTGTGGGCGCGCAGGAAGCTGTTGAGATGCGATGGCAAGACAGGCATGTGAGATGCGGCATAGAAGAAGGAGAAGAAGATTAATAGAAGTCATTCGGCGTATATCAGAAATATCATCGCCTTGCTGTGACGCACTCACCCGCTGCAGCGCCTCCGTCGACCCCTGCCTAGTGGCATCCCGAACGGGGGAGCACTCCTAAGCTCACTACCACATGGAGCGCCTTCACTCTGCCACCTCCAGCAATTCCCCGTCTCCCGCCCTACATTGTTAGCCTCGACGCCGAGTCGATGTGAATGTGTAGCACGTGAATCAACACAACCCCCAAACTGCGCCGCCCGTGTCAAGTGGGCGATTCGGCGGTTGCACTCGACGGTTGAGTAGCTCCCGAAGCGGATCAAGACCTACCTGGCCTCTTCTCGCAACGCCATCGAAACCGTTGACCAGAGCAGCCGGTGCGACGCGTCAATTTCACACGTTACGACGCCCGGGCTAAGACAAAATCAATTACCTGTAAGCCCCTTTTCCCTCTCCCTATACTCCGTCATCCTACTGCCCTGGCCCTCTGCTCCCTCACCTGCCTGCTACTTCCACCCCAACCCATTGCCCCATCGTACCGCGTTGACATTGGACGTCTTGCAGTAGTCACCACCGCACCCTCGAAGCGTTGCATACCACACGTCTTGCATCATGGAGCCGTGGATGAGCTGGGTCGTGTTCCTCGCCATCGGAGGCGCCGCCTACTGGTACTACATGCACCAGGGCAACACAGCGGATACCCGAGGACGCTCCACCACGGGCAAGTCGACGACCAGCTCGCTCAAGGAGGCAGTCAGCTGGGACACCCCAGAGAAGAAGCCCAAGGCACAGAAGGCTGCAAAGCCCAAGGCCCCTCGCAAGTCGGTCAAGACGGCCGTCCAGGATGCCGGCAACAAGGCCGCCGCGACCATCTCGCAAGCCGCCCCCAAGCAAGGTGCCGACGACAGCGCCGTCGAGCCCCCCGCCGCCTACACCAACAAGGCCCCGAGCGGCAAGGACGTCTCCGACATGCTCGGTGAGCGCGCTGCCTCGCCCGCTGTCATGAGCATCAAGCCCTCTGAGAAGCCAGCCAAGTCGGTCAAGGCTCAGACACAAAAGGCCGAGGTCGCGACCGAGTCCAAGAAGCAGCGCCAGAACAGGAAGAAGGTCGAGGAGGCCAAGGCTGCGCGTGAGGAGGAGGAGAAGGCGCGCAAGGCTCTCGAGGAGAAGCAGCGTCGTGTCGCTCGTGAGGCGCGCGGTGAGCCGGCCAAGAACGGTCTCGGACAGAGCAAGCCCCCCGCCTCCAACCCCTGGACCGAGGTGCCCTCTCGCGGCGCCGTCCAGCCTCCCAAGGCCGCTTCGTCTGGCCAGCTTCTCGACACCTTCGAGGCTCCTGCCCAAACCGCTACCAAGACTGCCGCCCCTACCAACGGCGCTGCTAAGACCGCTGCCCCTGCTAGCACCCTGCCCTCGGAGGAGGAGCAGATGAGGCTTGCTATGGAGGACTCTGCCTGGACCACCGTCCCCAAGGGCGGAAAGCCCAAGCGCAAGACCGTCAACGAGGAGCTTGCTGAAGAGCTCAGCGAAGTCACCACCTCCACGAAGCCCCAACAGTCTGCCAAGCCAGCTCGGCCAACTGAAGTCATCAAGGAGAACAAGAACCCCAGCTCCCGCTACCAGATCCTTGCCGAGGAGTTCAACCCCAAAACTGGCGACGATGCCGATGACTGGGCTGTCATGTGAAGTGAGCAAACATGACTCAGCCAGCAGCTGGTCTCAGGACCTCGGGTACATTCATGTACCCTGGACGACGATACACCTTTCGATTTCTATCCTATTGATGACTGTTGGCGCACGTGAGATCTTCAGGCGTTGATCTGACCACTTCCAACCTTCATCACGATAGCATCATATTTGGCATGACGGACGGGCATAGCTCATACGACGGTGGAATTGTCCTTGTAAGCATGGGTATGGCTGGATCATCGGATGGGTTCCTTCCACTGCTTTGCTATCCAGGCCATGGAAGCATCGGCGTATGGGGTTGCATCTGATCTTATTGCGAAGGCTTCTTGCATTCGCGTCCTGTACTTCAATACCACATTCAAACTTCAATCAGTACCCGACGCTGGAATAATGACTGTTGAGGCGCGCAGGTAGAAAAAGTAGTTGTTGAATTGCAGCTCCTCATACGAAACCTCCCACACCTGTGTGTGCATTCTAGCCGTGCGCGTTGGTGAAAGCTATAAATACAACGGTGCTCCACCGTGTTGAAAGTGCCCGTGCCAAGTCGTGAATCAGCTAGTCAAGATTGGTCCGGAGGTATTTCGTACCGACTGCTACTCCTGACGCCATAGTCAGAGTCGAGTAGCAGAAATCTGGCCTCTTAGTAGTACTCTAGTAGGTTGCGCGAACCGAGGAACCAGCGCCGCAGCAACCCTGGGAACAGCCCACACGACGCAATTCAATATATTCACCATCACGCGCAACTGCCAGCTAGCAATCCCACCCTGCAATTTACTAGCCTGCAACAGAAGAAAGTAGTGAGACTCAACACATCAAAGTAAGGCGCAAAGGGTTAGGCCGCTGACATAATCTGACGTTCCGAAGGTCAATCGCGTGAAGGACACCTGTTCGGAGCAGCGCAACCCAATCACCTCTACACCTGCCGCCGCCCACCCTCTCTTCTTCTCTACTACACCACCAGCCATGGCGCAGATACGCGGCACCGCTGGCTACCATTTGGGCAACCAGAGCCCCTTTGGCAACTCGGGGCGCAACGACAACAGCACGAACGACCCCAGTCCGCTCGACCAACTGCGCGCCCAGACGAGCAAGCTCGAGGACCTGCTGGACACTGTCTTCGACCCCATTAAGCCGTGAGTCTTACTCTCGGTGCAACAGAAGCGGTGCCACGACGCTGCCCGCTTGGAAACCGGCTAATTCCCCCCGTAGATACCTCCCTGGCATCGGCCGCTTCCTCATCGTCGTTACCTTCCTCGAAGATGCCCTGCGCATTATCACACAATGGACCGACCAGCTCACGTACCTGCACGACTACCGCCACAGTACGTGTTCACTACCCCTCCCGCAGCAGCGCGTGAACATTGGCTAACACGGTCTCTCTCTGTTTGCAGTCTGGAACGGCGTCACGCACATGTTCCTCATCGTCAACATTGTCCTCATGACCGTCTGCTCCTTCGGCGTCATTTTCCGAAAGTACTCCGAATACAGCGTAGCGGGCCTCATGACGGTCGTGGTGCTCCAGGGCATCGGCTACGGCCTCGTCTTCGACCTCAACTTCTTCCTGCGCAACCTGTCCGTCATGGGCGGTCTGCTCATGGTGCTCTCCGACTCGTGGGTGCGCAAGAAGTTTGCGCCCGCCGGTCTCCCCCAGCTCGACGAAAAGGACAAGAAGATGTACTTCCAGCTCGCCGGACGCGTCCTGCTCATCTTCCTCTTTGTCGGATTCGTGTTCCGCGGCGACTGGGGCTTCTGGAGAATCATTGCTAGTCTTTTGGGACTCGTGGCGTGTGTCATGGTGGTTGTGGGCTTCAAGGCAAAGTTCTCGGCTGTTATGCTCGTGCTTATTCTCAGCGTCTTCAACCTTTACGTTAACAATTGGTGGAAACTGCACCCGCACCACCCCCACAAGGACTTTGCCAAGTACGATTTCTTCCAAATTCTGTCCATTGTGTAAGTACCCCATTTCCGCTATCCACAAGCGCATTGCTAATAGTGTTCCAGTGGCGGTCTCCTCTTGCTGGTCAACATGGGCCCCGGCCAATTTTCCGTCGACGAGAAGAAGAAGGTCTACTAGACTCGGTCATGTTCACGCATCACGACACGTGTTTCGGCTTTTTTGAACGAAACGGTCGCCTTATATTCGATATATAAACGCATATATGATATTCAATTGGGGAAAAACGAACGTGGTGGGAAAAGCGAGAGATGATGGCGGCTTGGGACATCTACTTCAAGACCGGACCGTACAAGACGACAATTGGGCGTTGGGAAAGAAAGGATGTTAGCCCTTCAGAAGCAGCAGGTTTTCCAACCGTCAAACCTTGCATTGGGATGTTGTCCTTGTGCTGGGCATCTGGGAGTGGGCAAACGTTGTGTAGAGTTATGGAACGAATCCGGCGTTTGTTTCTTTACTTGCGAGTGATATGATGGCGATTTGGGCTTATGAATCGCACGTTCTAAATGGGGATTTTTTCCTTTCATATACATGGCAAATGCATACTCCCCCAATTCCACTTCTGCCTTTTCCATGCCGTTGTACATGTACATTTAACTTGACACGGAATCATTTCGGGCCCACAAGTTCGAAGTGGGTATCGGTGACCTCCGCGTTTGGCGGCTGCGGCATGCCACACACACCTGCCATGCGCGGTTTGGTGTAGGCTGGTAGGGTTATCTAGACGCGAGGCGCGCCACTAGTTAGATAATCGTACATGTATCCATACTTACGTACCTTGGTACATTCACAGAACAGCCAAACCAACAAACAACTATTCTACACACAACACTTCTTCCACATTCCTAGCTTTTCGACAGATATACAGATAAGATGGCACCGAATAAGATTATCATCGATACGGACCCTGTGAGTTTTATTTTTGGTTATGGGATGTGGGATGTGCGGGGTAGAGAAGGCGGTGGGGGATGCGGGAATAGGAAGGGGCGACACCGAGACTTGGTGATTTGAGAGTGATTGAGAAGATGGGATATGGGGCTGACATAAGAATAATGAATAGGGCGTCGATGATATCCTGGCTATGCTCCTGGCGTTCTCGGCCAAGAGCGAGGAGTTGGATATTCTCATGTTGAGTTTGACGTTTGGGAATGTTGAGGTTAAGAAGTATGTTTACAATATCCTCTTCGATTTGTTTCACATGCGTGGAACTCATGCGCTGGATGAGATCCAAGGTTGAGAGAGGGGTGACGAATTGACTGACAAATTTCTAGTTGTCTACGCAATGTGGTCACGCTGTTCCATTATATTGAGAAAGAGAGAGCGTGGAGGAAGGAGAATGGCAGGCCTGAGGGGTTTGAAACGTTGGGTGCGAGGAAACCTATTGGTGAGTCTTTGATCGCAGGTGATGATGGAAAAAGAGAATGTGTGCTAACATGAGCGATAGTTGCTGTTGGTGCCGAGGAGCCATTGGCGGAACACATGATGGTGGCGGATTTCTTCCGTAAGTTGAACATACTCAAGACGAATGGAAAAAGGGAGTGGCTGACATGGAGTAGATGGGATCGATGGGCTGGGAGGTATACATCACAGCGTAAGCTCTTCGTCTTCCAACACGATATAGAGAGCTGGGAACTGACCTGATCCAGCACCCACACCTCTCACCAGAAGAGACGTGGAAGTCACTCTTCACACCTCAACCGAAGGACATGTCGGCTGAAGAAACCAAGGCGCTGCAAAAAGTCAAGGAGAAACACTCGCTCTTCACTCCATCGCTGAAGCCCGCACACGAAGTCATGCTCGACTTGCTAAGGGAGAATGAGCCCGATACGGTTACCATTGTGGCAGTTGGACCTCTGACTAATCTTGCCATTGCTGCTGCGCAAGATCCCGAGACGTTCTTGAAAGTCAAGGAGGTAGTTGTTATGGGCGGTGCCATCGATGCGCCTGGAAACGTAAGTCCTGATCTTTTTCAGCTTACAATCTCACCTTTCGTCGCATCCTCTCCAGCTCTCCACAGCTCTGAAAAGCCACCCACAGCGTCGTCCACCCCCACCCCTCCACCTAATATACCACCCACACACCCTCTCCATCCCCGTCCCCCCCTTCAACCTAATCAAACAACCCAACACCCCCCTCCGCCACTCACTAAATCTCCGAAACCAGATGACCCCCGGCGCCGAATTCAACACCTACGCCGACTCCGTAGCCAGCGCGCGCGTCTTCGCCCTCACATCCGCGAACCCGCACCTCACCATGCCCCCCTCACTCTCAAACCCCCAGAAGAAAACCCAACTACCGGCGTACCCAAAAACGCTCAGCAAGCGCCTAACCATCAAACTCTTCCCGCTCGACACAACAGAACTACACGTCTTACCAAAAACCATGTACGAAGACTACATCGCCCTAAAACCCATCAAAGGTTCTCCATTATCTGAATGGACCAGCCTATTCCTAACCTCCACCTTCGCAAAAAACCTATCCCTGAACCCTCAACAAGATCCCACGAAATCCGGACTTCAACTCCACGATCCCTTGACTATATGGTACGCTTTATGCCCTTCCAACCCGCTCTGGAAGTTCAAAGAGGAGGATGTGAGGGTTGAGACGAGTGGGCAGTGGACTAGGGGTTGCACGATTGTGGATCGGAGGGGTAGGCCGGTTACGGAGGGGGAGAGCAGTTTGGATGAGGAGGTTGTGGGGGATGCGGGGGGGTGGAGGGATAGTAGGAGGGGGAATCGGGTTGGGTGGTGTACGAGGAGTCCTGGGGAGGGGAAATTTGCGAGGGTGTTGTTGCATAGGGTGTTGGGGGATGGGGAGCAGTGGTAGGGTAGAGTGCGTGTGAGGTTGGTAGGAAGACGGGTGCTCTTCAAAACGACGTGGTGTGTATAGAGAGGCCGCGTCTTTAGTCGTACACGCTGCGCCACATGCTCCATGATTGTAACCAGCATGGAACTTGGCACAAGCCATTCTTCTTCCTCGATTATCTAACTGCCAGAAAAATCGGACATCAGAGACATGCGCGCTGAAGTTCTCAGTCCACACATCCACAAACCTGAACCTAGTAAGCTTGCTACCCATCCGTCGGCTTACCCGCCATCACCCACCCCCCTACCCGTACCCTCCTTACACAACGCCTCATCAGGCTACATAGATAGCGAGAACACCGACAGGTGTACTACATATGTCGCAGCTGGGATGACCCGGTACTATGGATATTCTCCGAATGGAAGAGGGGGGTTTGTGTAAGCTCTTGTGTTATCGTGATACGAAAACGGCGGTCATTCCGAGTGGTTCGCTTAGAGGGGGTGTGTGTCAGATGTTCTGGGGAGAGGAGGAACTGGGAGGACAGGAAGCGGTGGGCTGTTTTTTTTGGGGGGTGGTACGGGGGTGGTTGGGCGGCGGTACACGCGTGTTTCTTGGTGTTGGGTTTGGTGGTATGAGGGACTTTGGGGAAAATGGGAGGCTGGGTCGGTAGTTGTTTGGAGGCGGCTCGGTGTTGGATAGAAAGAAACAAGTAAGCAGCCCTTTTTCGAATAACTAGTCTTACTCTTCCCATCCTTTGCTTTCCAAACTACCCCCTTCGATCCATCATTCCGGTAAAACTCAGCCTCATATCGCCCCATCTTCCCCCCTTCCCCCTCCTCATCTCCATGCACTCTACTCACTCCACTCGCTCATGCCGTGCACCCATGCAATCCGGCTCCACCTACTCCATCGGCAATCATAAGGGGCAAGCTAATTTCCGCCACCGGCACTTTCTCCGCTTCGTGCAATGTCGCACGGAGACGTTGTCGCGTTGCGTCATCTGCGTTGTGCGAAGTGCGGTATTAGAAGGGGACAGGACTAGCTGGGGCTGAGGGGTTTGGGGGCGCTTGGGTGAATTGGGAACTGGGAACTAGGGAAAGAGAGGAGGAGCTTTTTTCTTTCAACAGGGTGGGAAGGTTTATATTGTTTGGCTAGGCTACATGTCCGGGTGAGTGGGATTGGGAATGGGAGGAGGGCGGGTTCACCGCTGGTTTTGTGTTACCCACTGAGCTGAGGGATCGTAATCAGCTCACCGCACCCTATATCAGGAGAACTCTGAAGAGGTATGCAGCATACATCAAGGCGAGAATACGCAAAGTAGGCGACCTGACGTCAACGTAGGCTCTAGGGTGCTCAGTTCTTATTCCTTAGACATAATAAATGCAGAGATCCGATCAGACCCAAGAGGCAACAATAATCACTCGATTTGCGTATATTTGAGAGAGATGATGCCATTGTAGTTCTCCTCACGTGTGAAATATAGCTCCAAATACCGCAATGCAACCGTCTTCACATATTCCATAAAGGTTGAGTCCAGAGGACGAAGATAGATTAAAGCCAGACCTCTGTATACTAGGTCTGACATGATCGAAGAGAAGGAAACAGGATACGATCGAGGGTATATCTTGTGTGAATGCCTGCCGCAAAGGAAAGAGAGATACATGCTTAGGTGCCACCAGCTCCGTACGCGGTAGATGCAACTGCGATTGAAGGGAGAATCATGAAAACGTGCATTTGGGGGATGAGAAAGGTTTGTTCTGGCCCCTGGGAATATAATTCATAAACGAACGCAAATGCCAGCAAATGGCAAAAGGGGGATGAAAACGCCACCGCTGAGATGATGCAAAAGATGAACGCGGACTTTCCAATTCTTACTAATGTGGCCCGAAGGCTACGGCAACTTTAATTTGATTCTCAGGTTGCTCCTATGCCCGCATGTCGTCATTGAGGGAAGCCACCCTGTTGTTGTTGTTGTTGGTGACTTGAAGGCATTCGCGAGGCAGTCCACGAGAACATGGCCATGTCGCAGATACGCGCGAGAACCTGTTGGCTAGATGCACGGCTCTCATGACTGATGAACGACATAGCGACACAAAGCTTATTCAAGTCGCTGTCTGGACTTTGGTCGACTTGGGGTGGTAAGGCGTTGGGGAAACCACCAATGCGGCTACCGTAATGACGAGCGATCGCAATCGAGTAGATGGCATCGCGCACCTCGTGCATGCACAGGACGCCGCGTAGTACTGACAGTGCGCCGTCGGCTGCTCCGGGCGGGGCAGTGTCTGAGCCTGAGAATTGGACAAAGTCTCCGAGATGTTGCCAGAAGTCGACTTGCGACCTCTTGACATCATCAAGCGTAGGGGGGTATGCCAATTGACGTGTGGGATTCGAGTCCAGATTTTGATTCGTCATAAGAGCTTCCAGCACGTCGAGGCGCGCACGGGTTTCTCTCATCGCAAAGTCTTCGCCTTCTGGCTGTGCTCCGTTGGTGCTTGGAAGGTTCTGCTTGCACGTGCTCAACAAGTGCCATAATAAGCGAGCCTCTTGACTAAAGACGCCGGTCATGTCGGTATCGGCGGTAGCCTTGTACTTGATGGTCTCGGTGAAGAAAGCGGCCTCTTCATGTAGGGAGCGGTCGCTGAAGACTCTGTTGAGAGCATTGTTGTTCATGGAGAACCAGTTGGTCTCAAGTACGAGGTCGAGCCCTTGGCAGTAATCGTTAATAAAGATGCGCGAGAACTCGTCGTCGATTTCACGGGGCACTGGCGAGGTCCGCTGAGGAACCTCGGGCGGGCTGTGGTTGCAAATGCCAAAGATGTCTTGGATATTCAACCGCTTGCCTGAATCTGCGTTAGGACTGTGATGGCGATATGGAGCAGGATACCAACCTTTCATGGGCTCTGGCGGAGGCGGGTGGTAGCTGGTGCCTGGAGGCCCTCTCATGTTGGGATCCATGGGGTGCACACCGTTGTAATGTTGGGGTGGCTGTAGATTGGGATCGGCTTGGGCAAGCGCAGGGTCTATGGCGTGGAAGTTGCCTTGCTGGTGTTCGCCACTCGTAGCAGGAGCGGCAGTCGCGTACCCCGCGGACGAGGCAGGCGCGTACCCTTGGGGTACCGGACTTTGGCTGTAGTTGGAGGAGGAAGGTGCGGGCGCCGGTGCGCTTGTCGCGTGGGGTGCGGGCGCAGAGTTGGGAGCAGGTTGTATTTGGGCGGGACCGGATTGCTGCTTGAAAATCGGGTCGTAACCCAAGCACTCTCGTTTGCTCTTCTGGCAGTTCCGGCACATGGGGTGGGCTTCGTCGCACTGTCGGGGTGGTGGTTAGCGCATGAGCAGGTGAGTAGTGATGTTGGTGCGCGATGCAGAAAATTTGCCAGAAATCGGCGCAGCTGTATTTGCAGCCCGCAACGGCGATGTTGCGAGGCAAAGTGCTGCAGCCCACTGACTAACAGTGTTGCTGCACAGCCGGTCGCTTCTGACACGCGAGAGGTTGGATTAGAGGAGTTTGGGTTCCTCGCTCGGTTAAGCAAGCGACAAGCAATAGCTCCTCTGACATCGCGTCGCGTCTGCACCGCGTTCCATTGACGTATGCACTCACCTTTATTCTCCGTTTGCGACATGTCAGACAGCCAGTCTTGGTGCGACGCTTGATCTCCTTCTTGTGGCGACCACCAGACAGCACTCTCTGGTCGCCCTGCGGCGGCAGCTGGTATCGCATGGCATTGAATTGCGGGCCCATGTTGCCCATCATGGGCGGGCCTTGCTGCGCATGCGCTGGGTGCGGATAGTACTGCGGCATACCGTGCTGCGGCGGTGGGAGCGGAGAGCCCATGGGCTGGGGCGGCTGCTGAGGTTGCGCCTGGGGCTGCTGGCCGTCCTGCAGACGTATTGGCGGCAGATTGAGGGGCGGCAGCGACATGTTGGAGCCCTGGGGAGAGCTGCGGTAGCCATCGTTGCTCTGCTGGCCTTGGGGCGGCGGGTAGGTATACGTGGGCTGCATCGAGGGCGACGGGTACGAGTGCGGTGAGGGATAGGCGACGGCCTGCTGCTGGCGCGACTGCATGTTAGGATCGGCCATGCTCTGGTGGGAAAAGTGCGAAGGGGCCGGCGAGTAGGGCGCCTGGGAGATGTGGGTGGAAAAGTCGTGCGACATGGGCTAGCAATGGAGTCTGCCACCGGGGCGCTCTTCAGTTCTTGGGGATGTCTTGAAGAGCACGGCGGCGCTAGAAAGCTTGAGGCGGATGGGAAGAGGGACGGCAAGCCTGGCAAGGAACTGGGATTAGCTGAGTTGGCGAAGGCGTTATGACCCGCGGAACAGGGGCCTGGCCTCGCTCGGTTCGACGCCGCCGCGCTGCACGTAGTTGTGCGTGCACTACATAGATTGGGGATAACAAATACGTGAACGTCTGAATGAAGACTAACAAAGTCCAGGGAATCAGAATGAATGATAAATGAGGAAGGATGAAGATGATGAAGGCCTGGCATGCCAGCTGCCGCTCCCAGCAATGCATCGCGCGCGATATCCCTCACTCATCTCGTCCGTCTAGGAGGCAGCGAGTGGGCTCAGTGGAGGGTGGGCTGCAGCTGGCTAGCCGCCTTTAGCAGGTAATGAGGGCGCATGTGGCAGTGCCATGAAGGAATCAACCGACTTTACTTACAAGCTGCCTACAAGCGAGTCTCGCTTGAGCGGAAGGTAGCGAACAGGGTACTGCTGTCCGACGGGCTAGCGACGCGCGACGATGAGCTGGCCGAGGAGAGCGGCGGCAGAGGAGCACTTCTAGCGACGAGAGGGCGGCAGGTCAATGCAGCCAGAGCAATCGGGCATTTCTTCAGCAAAAGGCTAAAGGCGCAGACCGCTACGAGCGCAAAAAGAACTTCAGCATGCCAGGGCCGCTAGCCTGCATCGGGCCAATCACGTGCCGCTCTGTGCTGCGCACTGGGGCCCGCCACACTGTTCTTCCTGCAATCAGCGTCGTCCCGTCCGCTGCTGCACCTCTCTATTGCCCATTACCCAAGTACCTTACTGAGCCGAGCCTCGTGCGGCGTGCAGCGACATTCTGACCCGCTTAGACACACCATGCAGCCGCCCATACTCCTACTGCACCCACACTGCACCGTTTGCGTTGCTCAACCCTCATCCGACGGACTGGCAGAATTTGATTAAGGCTGATTGCGCAGTACCTGGGTCCCGGTCCAGCCGGCGCGAGCGGCATCTCTTCGAGAACACCTCCCTCTTGCACCCTCTGCACCCTCTGCACCCTCTGCACCCTCACTGCTCGCTTAGCTATCGGTGGCTTGCTCCTGCATCGTCACGACGAACCACTCTGTGCCTGCTTGCACATCTCTGATGCCGCGTATTCTTAGCCTGCCCTTATTTCACTGCCCATTTCACTGCGCAATCCTTTGCTCCCACTGCGGGTGACGTATGTAGCTCCCGATGTGACAATCGTGCAATGGTGCGCTGTCCAACGATCAAGCACACGAGCATTCGATCTCCAGACTGCGTCTTACGGGCCGGTTTCCCTTCCAGGGTGGCCAGCGGCGCGCCTCGTCCTATCTAAAGCGCGCGCTGACATCAACTTCCGCCTGTCCAATTCAATCTCCCTGCCTATTTACCCGCAATGGGCATATCGCAAGGGCGGCTTCCATTGCCAGCCACAACGCCGTATCTGAAGACATCTGGCGGAATCCTCCATGGGTTATCTGCGGGTAAATAAACGCATATCGGGTTAAGCCATTGCCTGCTAGAGCTGAGTGTGACCAACCTGTAGGAGGTGCATCACCGGCAAGACTTGTCCTTCCGTCTGGGTAGCACTAGGAGGCCGCCAACACGTGTCGAGATATCTACTGGACACCTCACCATTGTCGCCGAACAACCTTCGCGCCAAACAAGCTGGTTGGACTTTGCGATGCGACATGCGATGCGACAGGCGATACTGCATTGCGAATCCCTTGTCCAATGTTGCACAAGCAAAGACCCTGGTCCTAGGGCTGACAAGGTGCATCTAACAGGCCGCTACCAGTGCGCGCGCAGGGAAGCCTGCACTCGGTGCGACCAAGAACACAGCGCCAGAGAAGCCTGTGGAACACTGCTAATTGTCGTTCGTTCACAGAGTGTCTTTCGCGGGCGCCCGCTGAGACATGGTAAGATCTCGTCTATCGCAGTGCACAGAAAAGCCAGGTCAGGGATACCCCCGCACACGAAAGCATCGAACGCTTCTCGAACAAAGTTGAACGCCAACCGAGCGAGCTTTGCGCATCATCCTTCCGCCCCGCTCTCGCCTACAGACCGCCTGAAGCGACAGGTGTCTTGATCATCGCTGCAATACGAGATGCATCGGGCTTTGCAAGGGATGGCTTTTTCCTTGCTCAGTAGGATCTTGCACAATAACATTTTCGATTGTTATGCCTGATCTCACAACAATGGCTGAGTCGTGCGCTGGCCGCTTCTTACCCAAAGCTGCAGACCCTGAATAAGTTCACGCCATTGAGTTCACACTAAACATTGCTGTCGCGAACCGACTCGGCTTTACCCTGGAGTATCCCAGAATCATGAGTAGGGATAGTCAGCAGCACAGACGTCGGCCAAGCGATATCCACGGTGTAGGAATCCGCGCGTTGCTCGTTCATTCCATAATCATGGTCGCGCACACCTGACCACCTCGACACCAACTCCAAGTTGTGCCAACCTGAGTCATCTCGAACACCGTCAATTTCCGTAGCTTAAGGGCACTGGGTAGTCCAACATTCCCGCGGCTCATCAATATTGTTCTGACCTGCTAATGCTACACGTATACGAAAAACCAGGCAGCAGCTTTTCTGCGTGATTGAGAGCCACATTGTAAGTATGGCGATTTCACACGCAGCGAAAATATGATGGTTAACCGCAGTTTGAACATGCGATCAAAAACCATGGTTCGTGGTGCATCCAAAGAGTCATGGAATGAAGGGTCTGCATGCATGCGAGGGCGCTGAGAGGCAAGCTTAGCGTATAGAAAGGGCCGATGCTGTCATCGCAAGACTTAGGAACCAAGGTAGGTGAACACAAACTACGGTGTCTACTTCAATTCGTAGGTATCTCGCACGTTCTGACTGGCACGTATCTCTCCAATATGAATTTGTTGATTCGCCCTTTTTTTGGTGGTACTTTGGTTGTCGTGGCCTCCACCTTCAGGCTGCCATTTCGGTACCGTGGGACGCACCACAGCGGAATTATACAAAATAAGGGAACACACCCTCTATCTTCTACTTTCCCATCCGTCTCCAAGTGTTCATCTAGTCTACACTGCCTACCACTTTGTCCAACCGGCACTCCACCCCAACTTTTTCAGCCCGTCTAACTCCCACACATACCAACCGTCAAAATGTCCACAACACTAGACCAACAAAAAGAGGCCGCATACACCCTGCTCTCTGGTATGCTCACAAGCGTCCTACAAAAAGAGTGGAAAATAACAGACCGTCATTCGGCACAGTCCGCCCTCCTCGACATACTACTCCTCCCCAAGCCAGCGCGAGCCCCAACCCCAGGTCCCATCGCCCCCATCAAGATCCAGAAACAAAGCATCTTCCGCCTAGGCAGCCGTACATTCGACCTCGGCCCCGAACACGACTCATCCGCCAGTTCCTCCGACGATGATGGTGACGCTCCGATCCGGAATGCGCGTCAGCTTAAGAGTGAGATGCGTAGGGTTAATGCGATTCAGAGGCGTGCGAAGAGGAGGGAAGAGAGGGGGAGGAGGAGGATTGAGATGCATCTTGGGAGGATGGAGGGGGTAGTGGAATTTGAGACGGAGACCAAGACTGTGGGGAATACGAAGAGTGTTGCGGGGACCCCGGTGAGGATGCTGAAGGAGCTGGAGGACTACAATAGTCCTGCGAGGGGAAGTCTGTCTAGCGATGCGCTCATGTCGCCGCGAAGTGCTGAGTTCAGTTCGACGGCCAGTGAGGCTAACCGGGGGGTTGAGGAGTACGATGGCGTTGACAGTCCCATGTCCGAACCCGTACAGGCACCCAGGCGACTACAGCGCGCGGGGCCTCACATCAAGTATGTCAAGCCGGCATCTAGCCAGCGACGCGGCCCTGCTCAAAAAGATTACCTAGGCCGACCACAGCGCCACTGCAGCGACTGCGACCGTACGTTACTGGCCTCACACTGGACATGCCACGTCAAAGGCCGAATGCATCAGGACAATGCAGCTCGGGACAAGCAATCCCCTCCGGTGCAGGGCACCAAGACTAGACAAGAGTATATGCGGGGCTTGAAGCAGTATTGCGTGTACTGTGACCGTCAGGTCCATTCGAGGGGCTGGGGCGGTCATTTGAAGGCAAGAGCGCATTTGGAGAATGTGGCGAAGGCGAAAGCGGAGGAGGAAGAGAGTGTGAGGCTTCATGCACCGACACCGGAGTCTGTGGTGCTGTCTGTGGAAGAGGAAGAGAAAGAGCAGAAAGAGGAGGAATATGAGGATGACGGCTTCGGCGAAGAAGGATATGAATATGGTCACTATTGCGATGACTGCGAGGTCACGTTCGCTGGTGCGAACTGGGCGCGGCATTTGAGTTCGGCAGGCCACGTGTTTAATGTCATTAAAAACTCTCCGGGGGATGAGGATATGACGTCCGATGACGATGAGGAGGAGGAAGAAGAAGAGGAAGAGGAGGAAAGCATGGCAGACTATGATTCTGCCACTGATGGGGAGAGCATGGTGTATGATGATGCGACGGATGAGGATTCTGCGTCGCCCTCGCCATCGCCATTGTCTTCACCCTCGGCGGAGGAAGACGAGGCCGTATCCAATGAGAGAATCACATTCCCCCACGACGGGACACCGGTTGCCGACCTCGCCTCAACCCCCTCCCTCACATCTTCGCCCACCTCCCCTGCTTCCCTCTCTTTCTCGCCTAATTTCACTCCCGCTAGTCCCGAATTTAATTCAGGAGTGAACTTCTACTGCGAAATCTGCAGGGTCACTATCTTGTCTGCGGATCCCTGGGAGATTGATGAGCATGTGGCTGATCATGCGTATGAAGTGAGTAAGGAGGCTGAGGTGACCGGGACAGGAGGGGATTGGTTGAGTCAGTTGAGGGAGGCTGCTGGAAGAGTGAAGGAGGTGGAGGAGGTGGTGGAGGATATGGAGATCGAGGTTGAGCAGGGTGGCATGGAATGTCAATACAATGGGTGGGCATGGAGAACGGGTACGGATGGTAAGGTGCTTGGGAGTATACGGCGTAGTCCGTCTTGTTAGAGGTCGAGCGTCGATTGATACGTATCCGCCAGGGTACCTTCTGGATTTGTGTAACTTGCGGATGAGCGTCGATGTAGTCTACTAAGATATTCCAGCATCGCATTTGCACCATGATACAAACAGAATTTGATGAGCATAATCATATCGAAGTTACAACTATCTGACTATCCCTGCAACGTCCCAACGTATAGGTATCGAGAGTATCCCACAATGAAACGCCGCCCAATGCACTCGCACTCACTGCAATGCCACGAAAACGCCATATATGCTGACCAGATACCATATTATCCCCACAACCAAAACAACCAACTAAGTATCCGTCTTAGGCTTCTTGTTCGGCAGCGCTGGCACCTTGAAACCACCCGCATCCACCTTCGAGCTACCGTTGAGCTGCGTGAATGAACCGCCCTTGAACCACCTATCCTCGTCTGCCTTCCTCTTACGGTTGGCTTCCTCACGCGCCTTGGGATCAACCAACTCGAGACCTTGGACAGGTGTGAACGCGATGGAGTTCGTTCCCGCACCACCAAGACCCACACCACCAGTTCGTAGACCCTGTGCACGTAGACTAGTTGCTGTGCCGCTTCCACCAAAGCCTTTGAGAGACGAAGCTGCACCGAGAGTGGTGTCAGTGCCCCATCCGGGGTTCTTCTTGCTGAGTTTGGCGCGGGTCTTGGGGTCGATTTGTTGCGCGCGGAGTCGTCCGGTGTCTGTGGCTCCGATCATGCCCATGCCTGCTACGGAGTCACCGTATCCGACTTCCTTCTCTTCTTTGCCGAAAGTCATCCGGTTTTGAGCCTTGCGGATCTCGGTCATTGCTGTTGCTTCTTTGGCCTTGCGGGCTCGCCTTCCACCTCTCTTTCGCGACGGCTTCTCATCGGGTACGGGAAGGGCCCTTCCTCCGGCCTTTTGGTTCGCTGGCATCTCCACCAACTTGTCCAACCGACGCTCACACTCTTTCCTCAGATCCATACCTATATCGGCAGTGCCGGAGTTGGAATGGGCGTCCACACGCGCGGCGAGAATGACTTTAGCCGCCACAATACGTAGCGCTTGCTTCCTAAGATCCGGCCTTTGGTTCTGGATAATGTCGCTGTGGTACAGGTAACCCTCGTGCCTCAGACCCATGTTCGAAAGTCCGACTGTAGCCCCGGAGACTTTAGTCGAACCTAGAGGCGCGATGTTGCAAGCGGGAGTCTTCGCTAGGTTCGCGATACCGCCGGAGTATGAGATAAGATGGGCGGCAGTCAAACTTCCAATGAGCGCGGTAAGGTTGGGTGCGAACAGCTCAGTTCGGGATTCAACGAAACCGAGAATCTTAGACTTAGCGGCGTGCAGCTCGAGCAGCAGATGGCAGGCGCTTGAAACCAAGTCGAGTTCAGTCTGTTCAAGAAGTCTTCCTTCGACACGCGTGGCTTCAATCTCGACAATCATGACCTGGGCAGGTTCCATTCCTTCGATTTGCCTCAGCTTGGGGCTGATATCTTTGATGCTTGACAAAGGTCCGCCGCCGATGACCAAACATGCTTTGGCGTAGACGACAGGGTTCTTGATCAGATCCTCCAAATGGGGGAAGAAGGCCGAATAGTGGTCGCGAATGAACTTGTGGACGCTAGCAGTCTCGCCATCGATCTGTGTAGAGAACTCGTTGGCTTCTGTGAGGAGTTGGTACTCGGGAGATTCCTCAAACGATTCGCCCTCGACTATGTCCATCTGGTCCTTAGCGTCTTCGATGCGCTTGAGGACGGGGTCCAGGTTCGTCTTGAGCTGCTGCGCGGATCGAATGTCGGCTGGGCCCTTGCTTTCCTTGTCTTTGTCCTGCTGCTTCTCGCGATATTGCGCCTCCTCGTCGACCATCTCATCGTCGTCGCCAGAACCCTCGGCGAAGTCATTCTCCAGATCCTGGACATCCTCATCACCACTGTCTGCGAAGTCCGCCAAAAGCTCTTGCTCGAGAGTCGCCATGGCAGAATGTAGATTGGAGGTATTCGGGTGTGTGCGGTTGAGCGTCGCTACCAGGCAATAGCAGTTGGGGGTATCGAGGAAGTCGCGACGGCGGCCAGAGGTTACTCTCCTAGTGGATATCGGTTGAGTGCTGAGTTCGGGATCGTTGGTATACTACGTACCTGTTGCCTGGGATGGCCGCCGGTCGAGTTGTGAATGCGCGCGGGTGAGTGTCGTGGGGAGAGAGAAGTTGCGACGGCAGTGACGTGAAAGTGCTAATTGCTTGGCGTGCAGCGGATAAAAGTTGCGCTAAGGCAGTCGCGTTCTCACGTTACAGAATAATCTTGTCGCATCGCAGAACGACGACCTGCATACGACAATTGCTATCGCCAAGCTATTGTACCGTAGTCGCACTGCGTAGGCATCCGCGATCACGTGTTCGGCGGTTAGAGCGATCCGGACCAACCTTTGGAGCTCTGTTACTCCGACACGACCCAGGCGCGACAGCCTTCACGACCGACGTGCGCCTCGCCCTCTCTCACCATCACGCGCATACCGTTGCATCCCATATAACGCCCTTGATCATCATATTCGAACGCCAACATGGAGGCCTCACGAGGACCCCCGCGGGTCAAGAACAAGGCCGCCGCGGCTGTCCAGATCTCCGCTGAACAATTGCTGAGGGAAGCCGTCGATCGTCAAGATGAGAAGCTCAAGGCGCCAACGCAGCGCTTCGCCGACATCGAGGAGCTGCATGAGTTCCAGGGGAGGAAGAGAAAGGAGTTTGAGGACTATGTGCGGCGGAACCGTATCAACATGAACAACTGGATGCGCTATGCTTCCTGGGAGCTGGAGCAGAAGGAATTCAGACGTGCCCGCTCCATCTTCGAACGAGCTCTCGATGTCGACTCAACGTCCGTCCCGTTATGGCTGCGATACATTGAGAGTGAGATGAAGCACCGCAATGTCCAGCATGCCCGTAACCTTCTCGACCGCGCCGTTACTATTCTTCCGCGAGTCGACAAGCTATGGTACAAGTATGTCTACATGGAGGAGACGCTCGGCAACATCGACGGTGCCCGCTCGGTCTTCGAACGCTGGATGCAGTGGGAGCCTGAGGAGGCGGCATGGAGCTCTTACATCAAGCTGGAGAAGAGACACGGCGAATTTGAGAGATGCCGGGCAATATTTGAGCGCTTCACGGTCGTTCATCCGGAACCTAAGAACTGGATCAAATGGGCCAAGTTTGAGGAGGAGAACGGCACCAGCGACCTCGTGCGCGATGTCTACGGTACCGCCGTCACAACACTGGGAGACGACTTCATGGACGAGAAGCTCTTCATGGCCTACGCAAAGTTCGAAGCGAGACTAAAGGAGTTGGAACGTGCCCGAGCTATCTACAAGTTCGCCCTGGATCGCATGCCACGATCGAAATCGGTCAACCTACACAAAGCCTTCACAACCTTCGAGAAGCAGTACGGAGACCGAGACGGTATTGAAGACGTAATTCTGTCGAAACGACGTGTACACTACGAGGAACAAATCAAGGAGAACCCCAAGAACTACGACAGCTGGATCGATTTTGCCCGACTGGAAGAGACGTCTGGCAACCCCGACCGAGTCCGCGACATATACGAGCGAGCGATCGCCCAGATACCGCCCACACAGGAGAAGCGCCACTGGAGGCGGTATATATATCTTTGGCTGTTCTACGCAGTCTGGGAGGAGACAGTTTCGCACGACATTGAGCGAACCCGTCAAATCTACCAAGAGTGCATACGTTTGCTGCCACACAAGCGCTTCACGTTCGCCAAAGTATGGCTGGCTTTTGCTCATTTCCTCGTGCGACAAGGAGAGCTCACCGCTGCACGCAAGCTGCTGGGTCAAAGTTTGGGCATGTGTCCAAAGGACAAGCTCTTCAAGGGCTACATCGAACTGGAGATGAAGCTCTTCGAGTTCAACCGCTGTCGGCAGCTTTACACCAAGTACATCGAGTGGAACGGCTCAAACTGCCACACATGGATCAACTTCGCCAACCTGGAGCGTGGTCTCGATGATCTCGACCGTGCGCGGAGCATCTTCGAAATCGCCGTCGACACGCAAGAAATGGACATGCCGGAAGTTCTATGGAAAGCATACATCGATTTCGAAGAAGAAGAAGGCGAATACGGCCGCACACGTGCACTATACGAGCGCCTCCTCGAAAAGACCGACCACGTCAAAGTCTGGTTGTCCTACGCGCAATTCGAACTCGGCGTACCCGACGAGACCACCCCCGAAGACGACGAAACAATCAGCGAGCTCGCCAAATCCCGCGCTCGCGAGGCCTTCACCCGCGCGCACACCAGACTCAAGGAGAAGGACCTCAAGGAAGACCGCGTGGCGCTCCTCAGCGCCTGGAAGGCATTCGAAGATGTTCACGGAACAACAGAGGACAAGGACAAGATCGAGAAACAGATGCCCCGCAAGGTCAAGAAGAGGAGAAAGTTGGACGACGACAGCTTCGAGGAATACGTCGATTACGTTTTCCCGGCCGACGACGAGAGTGCGGCGAAGTTGGCGAAGCTGATGGCGAATGCGCAGAGGTGGAAGATGGCGCAGGCTGCAAAGGCGGCTGCAGAAGAGAATGGGGATGGTGCGGACGGCAACGGCGAGTGAGGAGATTTGTGGTGTTTGGTTTGGACTGTGTGCGTAAAGTAGAGGGAATCAACATTGCATGCAGGTCCACAGTTATCATCTACTTCGTCATGCTAAGAATGACTCAATATACAACGAATCTGGTATGCATCTCTCGAAGATTTCCAGTTTCAAAAGCGTTGCCCTAATCATTTGGCTCCATCATGCAGGCGTAGTGCCAATGACGTCGTGTAGCTCCAATGGGAATTGCCTCGGCATCTTCCCCGGATTCTGCAACCTCCGCATCGAACTCCGCAAGCTCTACTACCCATTTGACAAATACATACCACTCGCAACTGTGGAAGCTCTATCAATACGCTACAGTAGACTTCATAAACACCTTTAAGACTTTTGAAAAAGCCTCCACGATGCCAACCGCAGTTGCGAAGGTACAGCGGCAGGGAATGAGCAAAGAGCTCTCCGAACCTTTACCCGAGCCGGAGACTTTTGAGGGATTGAAGGGTGTCAGGGAGATCGCGGGGGATCTGGGCAATCAGTGAGTATGGGGTGCGCCTGTGCAGCTGTAGCTGAACGCGCTTGTGCTAATGGCAAGCAGACGCGTCAAAGACAAGGTCATCATCGTTACTGGTATGCCCGCCATTCCCAGCATTTCTCACTCAGAGAGAGAGTCTAACAGCATTTCCAGGCGCAAACTCAGAGATAGGCATCGGCCGCGCAAGCGCGCATCAATTCGCGCGCAACGGCGCCCGCGCAATCTACGTATGCGACTTTGCCGACAACCACCTCGAGACACACAAGCGCCAGCTCAACACCCTATACCCCTCCACCGAAGTCCACATCCGGCAATTCGATGCCGCAGACGAGGCATCCGTACAAAAAGTCTGCCAAGAAGCTCTAGACACCTACGGCCGCCTCGATGTCTTCTTCGCCAACGCAGGAATATCATCCGGCAAAGTATTCTGGGAAGAGTCAACAGAAGGCTTCATGAACGTCCTACGCACCAACGCCCTGTCCGTATTCCTCGCCGCAAAACACGCATCGCGCGCTATGCTCAAGACCTCGGATGAGAAGCCATACCCAAAGGGCAGCATCATCGCCACAGCAAGCGTAGCAGGTCTCCGCTCCAACGCCGGCCCTACAGACTACTCCGCCTCCAAAGCCGCCGTCATCAGTCTGATGCAGACGTGCGCATACCAACTCGCCGGCTCCGGCATCAGATGCAACGCCGTCTGCCCTGGGCTGATCGAAACTGGTATGACCAGGGTGACATACGATGCGGCGAGGAAGAGGGGTAGCGAGAAGAAGATTGGTCAGTTGAACCCACTTCAAAGAGGTGGGCAGCCGGATGAGATTGCGAGGGCGGTGCTGTTCCTGGCTAGTGACGAGGCTAGCTATGTTAATGCGCAGGCTTGGGCTGTGGATGGGGGGTTGAGTGGGGGACTGCCTTTTGTACCGGGGAAGTTGGCGTAGATCTGAAAAGAGTGCGCGAGGATCCTGGCATGAGAGATTGTGGCTGGACGTAAATCGCGATGATACCTTCAGACATAGATCACTGACACAATCCTAGGTGAAATAGGGAAATATTACGCAGGCTCCTCGCGCCAGTATCCTTGAAAATTGTCACTGACACGCGTATTAGTGGCTGCAGACTGTTTCTGGTGACATGTCATTACACTATCAAAACCCTTTAGTCATTGTGCTTAGCCAGATACGACCCTGGACTTACGAACACATAACCAACGACTAGCCACAATGTCCCTGGACCCTTGGTACGCAGGTACACTCCAGTCCCAATAAATCAAGGAGCTTGGTATCAGTATGATATATACGAACCACGGTTTGGCTCAGGGTAACCAAAGTATCTGCACATGATAATTCGGACCCTTTCTCTCCCCATCTTCTTGCACTTCATCTCATTACTTGTTCATCTTCTACGTTCAAGGTACAATAAGGCGTCCAGCTCCAACAAGACACCCTTTACCCGACAAGACTACTCACCAACGGAAATATGGCGGAGATACCAAGCATGGTCCCAGAAGTCCCGAGCATGATCGAAGACACCCCGGATAACCTCCCATCATTCGCACCCTCACGCCGAGCAACAGTTCCCGGTCGTCGATCGCCATCAACACCAGCCCCAACTATCTACCTCAGAGGCTTCAACTGCATCGCCAGCGACCCAGAGTACCACCTCGCACGAAGTGTGACTGGAAACGTGCAGCCGTACTGGTTTGAAGAAACGCGGAATCCCGCAGTTCACTATGGCCCCTCTCGAAGACAGAGAAGAGAAAATGCGACCCGACGAGCTGGTCAGGTCGAAGACACTTATCTCGTCATTCCCAACATCGAGGAAGCTAAGCGGTCGGACGACAAGACGATGCAGCGAGAAGAGGCGAAAGAAGCATTTCTAGAAGCCATGTGGCCAACCATCCGCGACGAATACCTTGCTATGTTCAATCTAGCAAGCCTCGCGCCGAAGCAAGAGAAGAGGATGAAGAAGGACACGATGATCTATCTAGAAGAAGAGTGGGATATTCTGGAGGAAGAGCGCAGGGCTGAGACTAAGAAGCAAGAGGAGATGGAGCAGCGTAAGCCTATCGTTCGCTTGCCGGTTCGCAACGTTTCGGATGGGAAAGGAGCGTCGGAGAAGAAGTTCAAGATGAAGGGGAAGGGGAAGGGGATGGTGAAAGTGAAAGACGGAAGTGGGGTGGAGGCGAAAGGGGAGAAGAAGGGGAGTATCTCGCAGAGGCTGAGGAAGGTTCTGGGTATGACTGCGAGGCCGGTGGTGAAGGATGGGGGTGTTGCGCCGCCGTTTCATCCGGTATTGTGAGGGCGGTTCGATGTCCAATCTCGACACAATACTGATTAGGGTACTATAGTGGCGACCAGGGCACAGTATTTGACTGGAGCACGTCGCTAGAGACAAAGATGGAAATTTGTGGATTCCATAATCGATAAGGTCAATTCATCTACTTCCTCCCATGGTACTGCAGTGATGCCGAGTAGGCGAGCCACTCACGACTTCCGAGTTGCATATTACACCCATTTGACTAAATCATCTTAAACAATAAGGATCATTAATTCAAGAACTGAGCAGCCGAATGTGTGAAAACTTCGCTTGTTGGTGACGTATCTCGCGAAGCACGTTGTGCGCAAGTGCTCTTTCTCCGACACGCGAAGCTGCCTTCCAAGTTCACCACTCCCCATGACAATCCCAATCCGCATTCACCACGACGACCAACTCTTTCGTCACACTCGCATTTGGCCGACTCTCACTTTGAGCTATGACCGCGCAAACATTTTTACCTTGAGCTTCTCTCACTTTTGCGCCTACCAATCTCTCTCCGCACACACTGACTCACCACGACCACCACAACAGCCATGGAGAGTCGCCAACCACTCCCCGAGCGCCCCAGCTCAAACGACTACATCGACGAAACACAACTGTCGTTCAACGCACTCGAGGCGCAGAGATGGGATCGCGCATTAGAGAGCTCTCAGCGCGCACTGGACCAGTCGATGAACTTACCCTCCTTTCAGGACCTTTGTAACTACAGCGCACCCATCCGGGGCCGCGACTTTCAGGGCAGTCCAGTCTGGTCTGAAGGTGCTATGAGCGATGGCCCAAGTGATGATACTTTCCAGTCTCCTTCCAGCGACACTACTGTTAAGTTGAGCAGCGGCTACAAGGAACTCGAGGACAGCAGTGCCTATACCTTCTTTCCGACGCCTTTCACCGTCGCCGCGACATCAGAGACGGGTGCTACGAATGGCTCCGCGTCCAGCGATTCTGATATCTCACCGTTGTCTCAGCGCCAGTCTTTCACTCGCGTCGCGGTCGAGTCACCTTTTCGACCTGAGTTCGGCGGTCCGGTCCAGACTCCCGCCAGCCACGGCATGAGGTGGTCTCCTGCGCAGCTGCAGAAAGAGATCTCACGAAACTCCGACAGCTTCTATTCCCACCCCAGCATTGCAAAGACTCATGTTCCCTCCCGTCCGCAGTCAACGTTCCCCATTCCACGAAACATGCCTTTCGAGGAGATGATCGTACCGCGCGGACCAAACCTGCACCAGCGAAGGCTCGATGCCAGAGTATCAAGCTCACCGGGTATGCCGTCGCCCCTCGGTCCTGGTCGTATGCGAGAGCAGCTCCACGAGGGAGACGTGGGAAATGTATCGCTGTCACCAGTTCCGAACGGACGTCTCCACACGAGCGATCAGATGAAGTACGGAAAGCACAACCCAAGCAACAAGGATACGAAGAACGCCTGGCAGAACATCCCGTCTCCACATTCACCTACCGTGCAGCGCTACGCATCCAGCGGCTCGATTGACTCGCCCATGTTCGACGTATACCCGCGCAGCGCTGAGATAGACGAAGAAGGAAACTTGACTCTGGGTGGCTCGCCGTACAGTAACGGGTCTGGACATGCGCGAAAGCACACTGATCCTTTCGTCGACCATAAGCCGTTCCAAAGCAGCACAGGATCTACGACTCGCATGTGTGGAGTTGGTGCGCTTCCCCTACCGACTGGTACTCGTCCACCGCCTGTCCACCCTAGCATGTATGACGTTATTCGGAAGAACCCTGCTGGCATTCAGATGTGTGGAAGTAACAGTGGGATTAGCTGGGATCCCAAATCTCCGGAGTTCGTGGGCATGGTATCTGCTGATCGCCTACGTGGTAGTAACAGTGGCTTCGACACCGGATCTCAGTCGTTCAACCGCCCGCCGTTTGTTGATGTTCGAACATGTGGAACTACGCCTCTTGATCGCCCGTCTAGCATCATTGTGTGTGAAGCTCCTCTAGCCACACCATCACCATCTGAGACTCGCATGAACAGCGGCTTCAAGCCCTTCGTAACCTCATCTCAGTCATTCGGCAAGCCTTTCATGCCCTCATCTGAGTCGTTCGGCCTACCATTCACCGCAACATGGCCCACCTCCGCGCCCGCGACATCCGGCTTCGCCACCCCAGCCTCAACAGAAGACTCTCACTCCGCACGCGAACCAAGCTTCCAATCCCGTCTACCCCTCCGCTCAAACCTACCCATCCCACCTCCCCCACTCTCCTCCATCTCAGGCCAATACGACCACAGCCCCTCAGCCCGCGCCCGTCTCGACGCTCAGAAGCCCATCCGCTCAGCCTGGATCCGCTCCGAAGCATCCAAAATAGCCCAACTAGCAAAACTGCGCCACGCAATGGAGAAGCGGTATCTGGAAACCCGTTCCGACGCCGACTACGAGGCCTGGCAGAATCTTCAAGTGGCGTATGAAGATGCTACGGATCTGGAGAAGAGGCAGGTAGAGAGGCGGAACCTTTTTCTTAGAGAGAAGAAGATGGAGGCTTTGAAGACTGATGTTGTTGGGGATATGTCTGCTGCGACTGCGGGTCGTGGTGGTGTTGGGGTGGAGGGAGAGGAGAAGTTGCTCGGGTATAAGATGGCGCTTATGGAGCGTGTGTGTGCTGAGGTTAAGCCTGATGGGGAGGAGGAGGCTATTACGGGCGAGATGTTGGCGACGTTGAGTAAGGAGGAGAAGAAGGCTATAAGGAAGCTGCTTGTTGGTCGTATGGAGCGGAAGGCTTGATTGCGCGTCGTGAGTCTGGTCTCCGAGCTTTTCGCAGGAGTATAGCGGACTAAGAGTGGGATGGTGAGGTTGAGATCTTGTGTGTAGACGAGAACTTGCTACTGTGGTGTGCCACTGAAGAAATAAGATGATGTATACATCACCTACCAATCTTCATGCCGCACCACCGGCCATGATCTTCTTCCCCTTGACACTCTTCTGCTCCATACCCAGACTAACAAAGAAAGCCACACTACTCGTCGCAATCGCCAATATGAACGCCGTGACAATCGCGTTGTTGTACCCATGCAACACTCCCGGTAGCAGATCCTCAGGCACAACATTCCTCAAATTCGTCGCCCCAGCATTCGCCACAATGCGCGCATCAAACCCCGGCGCATACCTCGGCACCTCCTTCGCCAACGTATTAACAAAGATATTTTGCGCCACAGAAATCGAAAGTGCGCCCCCCAGCGAATTAAAAAACATAACGCAAGCATTCGCCGTAGGCATATCCTCCTCATTCGTAACAACCTGCACAGCGACAAACGGGATCTGCACACCGGCTCCTGCGCCGATACCCGCGAGGATCTGGTAGCCGATCCATTGGCCGGGTGGGGAGTGGACGGTGAGGGTGTAGAGCATGCCGGCGCCGATGGCGAAGATGGCGCTGCCGAACCACATGAAGGGGGCGTACCAGCCGACGAGGGTGATGAGGCCGCCGATGACGATGGAGGAGACGGTTATGCTGACGAGGTAGGCGATGGTGCGGATGCCGGATTCTTCGGCGGTGGTGCCTTTGATGGCTTGGAAGTAGAAGGGGAGGTAGAATATGTGGCTGGTTGGGTGTTAGGGGATAGCTTGTAGGAGTGGATGATGGATGGGGGTAGGACTTACGTGTATAAAGCCATGGATAGCAGTGTTGAGTACAAACAACTTACCAGCACTGTTCGCTGTGTGAATACGCGAACGGGTATCGTTGCCCGATCTCCCTTGCGCATCTGCAAGCCGATGAAGACGGAGATTAGCAGACCGAAGCCTAGTAATGTCCCCCAAACCTTCGAGTCACTCCACGCGTAACTAAACCCACCCCACTGCAGACACAACAGCAAACAAACAATCGCACAGATCAAGAACACAGCCCCTACGATATCAATATTCTTCAACCGCTGCTTCACCGGTAGATGCGAGTACATCCTCTTCGGATTCGTAAAGAAGAAGAACACCACGCCCAGCGACACAGCACCGAAAGGAAGGTTAATCCAAAAGCACCACCTCCACGACGCTCGATCCGTAAGGGCACCACCAAGGATAGGTCCAACAACAGATGCGATGCCGAACATGGACGAGAGCGCAGCGATATAGATAGCCCTCTTTCTCAACGGCACCGAGAACCCAATGATTGTCATCCCCCCCGAATACAACGCCGCCGCCCCCGCCCCCGCAACCGCCCTCCCCACAATAAACATCGCCGAACTCGTTGCGGCAGCACAAATCACACTGCCCACCTCAAACAGGACCAAAGCAGACAAATACGTATACTTTACGTCGAAGTACGTGTACACCTTCCCGAAAGAGGGCTGGAGGGATGTGGTGGTGAGGAGGTAGGAGGATCCGTACCAGCCTACATCTTCGAGGCTGTTGAAGACGGTGGTGATACGCGGGATTGCGGTTGCGATTATGGTGTTGTCGAGGGCGATTACGAAGGTGGTTAGGCAGAGGCCGAGGGTTAGGATGGCGAGTTTGGGGCCGGAGAGGTATTGCGATTCGGAGGAGGGGGTGGAGTCGTCGGGGGTTGTGTCATCGGCGGTCTTTTCCTTTGCGATGACTTCTGCTGTGCTCTTCTCTTTATCTGGGTGTGAGGGGTCGGTGGTGTTTGGTAGTGATACTGGGGGTGGCGTGGTCTTTTCTGGATCGCGGGTATGTGTCTGGTCGGTCGTGTCATCATTCGCGGACGCATTCTCGAAATGCTCCTTTGGTTCTTCCAATCTCGGTTCAGAACGTCCAGGTACTTGTGCATTCTCATCAATCGTGCTTGCGCCATCCGCCATCTTCGTAGTATCGGCCTCCTGCATACCGGCAGCGGGCGCGGCTCAACACAGGGAGGACTTGCCGTCTGCGGGCCGCTGTACACTATGTGGAACCTGTCAACGGGTATCTAGTGTATCGAATCAAACAATTTCGCGGCAGTGGCATGTAAGTCGCACAGGATACCGCGCCGTCGTTGCAAAGTGAGGCGAATGCAGCAAGGAGCAGAGGCTTCGAAAAGAAGCATCAGCGCAAACCTTTTGTTTCCATACACAATCCATGATCACGCGCCGCAATCAAGGTGCAACCCTTTCGAGCCGTGCGACCGTATTCTGTACGGTAATTGGGATGTCAGATGGGCATCTGCAACCGAGAACGTGAGTTGGGGCGCGGGACGTTTGGATGCCGAGGGGAGTGCGACCAATGGAAAAATCCACGGGAATTATCCTTGTGTAAATGATCACCGTTGGACTCGGTTGGGATTGCAGGTTGCAGATTGTAGAGGCCGTTTGCAGCGTTAGTTGGATACGTCTTCGTGAAATGTTGTTCGTGCTTTACAACAATTGTGCGATGCGATAACATCTCGCTAGAGGTGCGTGGCGCATGCCTATTAGCAATACAGCACGGGCAACTACAATGCTATTAAAGTAAGGAAGGAGCGACGCTGCCGTCGCAGTCGCGGTTGTGGTGCTGTCATATCGCGACTTCCGTTATCCTCGGCTAAACACCCCGACCATGATGATCGCCCACCACAAAAGTCTAGAGCATCCTCGAATCCGAACGCGAGCATATGTAAAGGAATCCCTGTCTTCGACTGTACTCGCGAACGCAGATCTGGGGTCGGGTCGCTGTGGATATCGCAGTGGGCGTGATCAGCCCGGATGGTGGGGTAGCTAACCTGCGTGCTAGGGCTTTCCTTTTACGAGAGGAAGTGCTTCAAGCTTCATCCTTGACAGTTTGGGAAAGAGCGCTGCGGGCCGTTTCGCTCCCGTAAGTGGATGGTTGGAGGCACTGGAAGACGTCACGTTGGTGTGTAGATCGGAAATGGGTGATGTGAAGTGTTTATATTGTAAGTCTAATAGTCGTGATGTATGCGGTTCGAGGGAGCATTGGGGATCATGTTGGATACATGTGAGGGTAAAACATGGGTGGGCTAAGTAAAGATCCTCCTTCTACAACTCGTCTAGCCCGGACAAACAGCACAAGCTGTCTCGACCTTGACGGTAGCGAGGATTACGCCATCGTGGCCGCGTGCGCACTTTCGCTGCGATATCTGGCCCTTGGGACACATTTGCTGAAAGATCATCTGAGTGTGTCCGCACTTGTGGGAGTAGGCGTGGTAGAAACACATTGTGAGTTTGTGTTTTGCGTGGCGTTGGTAATGACCGTGAATTTGGATAGCCTCTTTGTATGGTGGATGGGATGGTATGGCTCAAAATCTATTTGATGGTCAGCAATGGTACTCTACCGAAGTACACTGTGACCCTGGCCGGCGAGCTCCTGCCGTGTGTCTTACCTTGAATAGAGTTCGGATCGGACAACCAACGAGTAAAAGAACGTATGCTGAGATGATTGACAACGTGATATTGTTGGAACGAAAGTGTTGGATAAGAACGCTCGATAGAAGTCCAGATGACCGATGTTGTGCCCATCTCTGTCGTATGTCTCAGCTCTTATACCACGATGCATGCGTTAATAGGTTCATGATTGCATGATTGCTATCTATTGCTCAAGTTGCGCGGTTTGACATCCGCGAGCAACCAAGCAATTAAAAACTCATCCGTCTGGTTACAACCACGGCAAGGCGTTTCGAAGACTAAGCGGATGTCAGTCCCGCGACAGTAACTTCCCAGAATGGTTCACGGCTTATCGTCGACTGTTGGCGTTGAGGTTGTACTAAGCCATTTCATGCCCAGGTGAGAGATGTGAGCATTCAACAAGTGCAGTCAGCACCTATGCTGAACATACTGCGCCAGTGTCGTCGCACAACCAGCGACGGGCGGCTCCGGATAAGCGAGCACGAAGCAGCTGTTTGGTTTACTCAGGTCTCACGAACCCATACTCGTCGGGAGACAGCCATGCTAAGAGATGACCAAACATCAGATCTGACAATAGCGAGATTTGCTCTTCTGGGCTGGTGCAACGGGGGCGAACATCATCGTAGTTTGTTTGATTTGAGGATCGGAAAATCGCCGCACTGGTTCATGTTTTCCTCAAACCCGCCGTACCGTCGGAAATCAACCGACATAACTTGCGACGTTTGGTTCCGCTGAAGTTTGCGCAATCGTCGTCGTGATTTGCGGCCACTTTGCCTCGGTATGTCCCGGTCACACGGCGCTGGAATCCCAACCGCCTCGACTAAGTTGCGGAGCTGAAAGCTCTGACGTACAATCTAGTGCCGTCGTGGTCGTAAATCAAGAAGGCTGGCTAACAGTAGTGCTCTTAGCTGCCGACCACATTAGGCCAGCATTTTCGAAATTCCAGCCAATGAGCATGCGGCCTCACCGCCAATTCGTGTGGAGACTTTCGATGCAGATACGCCGCCAGATCCCGCAGATGACGAGACGATAGCTCGGATCTATCAATGGATGCTAGTTTCTTGGATGTAAAGATGGTGGGTAGGGTTCCCAATGGAGGTATCGGGTCCATGTCGCCTTCGAGGCTGGGAGTCGCAGAGAGATCCACTCGGGCATATTGCTAAGCGTGCAGGATACATGTTGACATGCCAGGGACGCCCGTCTACATCAGTGTCTCGTCAGCATGCATCGTGCTAGTCCTCACCGTGGGGTAGAGGGCCCGAGTGACAACGCAAGCGCATGCTGTCCGTGGCGGAGTTGGAAGCGCCATGGTTAGGGCTGTCGAAGCGTCTCTTGCGGCAGACGGACAAGTAGCATGATGGCATACTGCACCCCACCCAGCCGTGGAACGATGCGCTGGCAAACGGTGTGGTTCATCTGAGACTGCAGGCGAGGCACAGGCGTGCATGGGCGCGT